ACTACTTGTTTTAGAGACCAGTCATGTTAAGCCCCAGACCATGCCTCAACGTACACATTGACCTGTGCTGAAACACCACCACCTGTCTATAGAGACCAGTGTATTCTGTGTACAATGGGGTGGTCACAAAACACAGGTTACACTGCACGTAGTTTGGCATAAAAGGCAGTGTACATGTGTGTGTGGGTGCGTGCGTGCGTGCTTGTGTGTGTGTGTGTGTGTGTGTGTGTGTGTGTGTGTGTGTGTGTGTGTGTGTGCGCGCGCGCGCGCGCGCGCGTGCGTGTCTGGTGTTGTGTCCTCGTAGAACTGCTCCCCCCTACGGCCAGCTCTGGGACAAGCTTCTCTACTCTGCTGACCATTGGCATAGCAGCGTTTGTTGGCTTGCTGTGCGTGGTCGTTTCACTCATCTTCTTCTGCAAAGTGAGCTTTGTTTTCTCTGTTGCTTCCCTGCACTTCTTGTTATGAGTATGAGCGCAGTATGCTGCTACTGTGTGGTAATGAGCATGCATCAACACGTGTGTGTGTGTGTGTGTGTGTGTGTGTGTGCATGTGGGTGTGTATGTGTGTGCACGTGCGTATCGATGCACATACATTGTAGTTCGGAGCAGCAGTTACATTCTCCACCTACAGTCAACTTCGCTTATAACGACATTCGGCGGGGCATCAAAAAAGTGTCCTTGTTTGCGAAGTGTCGTTATACCCGAAGTCTCATTATATGTATTACAGTTGGATGGAACTTTGCTCTGGGCATGGACATTTTGTCCATATTCGCGAATTGTCGTTATATCCGCAGTCGTTATTAGCGAAGTTGACTGTATGTACTAATATGCACAGTTGGATAGTGGCTTTGTCTAGCATGTACTGTATGTACTAATATGCACAGTTGGATAGTGGCTTTGTCTAGCATGTACTGTATGTACTAATATGCACAGTTGGATAGTGGCTTTGTCTAGCATGTACTGTATGTACTAATATGCACAGTTGGATAGTGGCTTTGTCTAGCATGTACTGTATATGTACACAGTTCCGTTTGGAATTAGCTTTCGCTGTTAGGGGGCACGAAATAACTAAAGTTTGTTACAAACTAAAGTGTTTCTCTTCTGAACGTTCGGGGTGACAGACCTCCGACCCAAAACGAAATTTAGTACGTAACGAACCTGCTGGTGGGGTGATCTAACGAAAGATTTCGCAAACGAAAAATTGTACAGTACTTGTGCTTCTAATCAAGGCTGTGAAAGTAGGCATGTGTATTGTCCTCTGATGTGGATCAGACTACCAGCCACTGCTGCGCGTCACAAGAAAGCTGGAGTGCACAATGAGTAGTACTTGTTGCTATATTATGTACTGCAAACCTTGAACTGTATTGTCTGGTGGCACTGATGACACTTGTGTTCCTTGCAAGCTCGGCGTATCTTGTCTTAACCCCCCTGTCCGTGTCTCTTTGCATGGACTGATGCGACCGATAGGGACGGCAGTATAGAAGGGACAACTTGATGAAGACGAGTTCACCGCACTCTCCGTACGACTACACTAGCATTGCATCTCCCATGGTAAGCACACGTGTGCTGTAGATGTGTATTGTGTGTCCGCATTGTCCTTGTCTATGTCGCTGTGTGTATGCTAGGGTGCGTGCGTGTGTGCTTGTGTGTGCATTTTCGTGTGTGTGTGTGTGTGTGTGGGTGTGGGTGTGGGTGTGGGTGTGTGTGTGTGTAAGTTGTCATGTCTAACATAGCTGTTCGCTATCATCGCTTCCGCGATGGGCATGTCTGAGGTCTGAGGTGTGCGTGTGTGCGTGCATGTGCGTGTTGATTGTCCGCCGTGTGTAGTTACTTTTCTGTCCCGGTAGTTGTAGTGTTTTGTCCACAGTCTTGTGATGCAGTGAATGGGATTCACGGTCTTTGACCACTGTGGTGGTGGGTCTGATCTAATCACCTCCTACCGCTTTAGGAGCTGTATCTGCGCCTTGATCCTTGGGGTGGTGGCATTTCTACGGATGCGGAAAACTCAACCTCCAGCCGTGTCTTACGCGAACCGTGATTTTGTTTGTGATTGCCAGTTGTTGTGTTTGTTCCCGACTAAGCATTGCCTGAGCCCATCCATTGGTGATTGTTGTGCACAGCCATGTGTCCAGTCTCCACCAGCGGATCTCTGCCTTTGTTGTATGCTATGCAGTGGTGATGTGCATATTTGCGAGAGGCATTCTTGTAGACATGGCCTTCATCTGATTTTTGTTTTTGATTCCCTGGCGTTATGATTGTGTTTGCCTTCAGAACCATGGAAATGGCTCGGTGCTGCACCCAAAGATTACGGTAAGTGCACCCATTCGTCTGTGCTGTGGCTGTGTGCCAATCCGGCCTTGTACCCAGATATTGGTCCTGTTAGCCACTGCATGTTCTACGGCTGTATTTGTGGGAGTACATGATTGTATTGAGTAGGGGTGTATTTGTGGGAGTACAGTGTCATGTACTGAGCGTAGATAACCACTGCACCACTTGGTTGGTAAATTCAAGCCTGTGGACCTTTTTGTTGGCATGCATGTTGCGGCCATGCCCCATTGTCACAGGTCAGATCCAGCGCCGAACGCAGTGTTGACTAGTTGTTGGGTGTCCGATTCGTTACGCTGTCGCTCATACATTGGCTCGACCTTATTGTCTTCAATTCTCACGAATCAGCTTGCATAGGCGTTATCAACACGCCCGCAATGTCTACTTGTATGTTTGTTGTATTTGTTGTATTGCCTTTGCAGATGATCAAGGAGAAGCACTTGCAGCTAACGGACATTCTTGGACATGGCGAGTTTGGAAATGTTCACAAAGGCCAGTACACGGGTGATGGAGGCCGTGCTCAGGTCATCGCCGCCAAGGTCTTGAAAGGTAGGAGACGGCCGCCGCAGGGGGTCACTGCCTGCATCATAGCGATGTGTGCAGGGCAAGCTTGTCTTTCCCAGCATATCAGGACTTCTGCTGCTGCATGGGGTCACTGCCTGCATCATAGCGGTGTGTGCAGGGCAAGCTTTCCCTGGCATATCATGACTTCTGCTGCTGCTGACTGCTGCGGAATGCAATGGTTGTATCTCATGCCCTGTTTCTCCTTGCAGATCAAGCCGGTGACGAAGACAAACAGGCTCTGCTCGAGGAGATCACGCTGATGTCGGTGATCGCAGAGCAAGGAGAGCACGAGAACGTCATCGGCGTAAGTAGTTTGGTGTTGGCCATCTGCTGACTAATATACACCGTGGCGTTAGGTGTAATCCAACCCCTGCACAGTTTGTGAAGCTGAGATCCAGCGGTTGGATTTTCAACTGGGACTGCAGTACTTGTACAGGCAATGGCAAATAAAATCCAACCCCGGGTTTCCTGCACGATGTCCGTGCATGATCACATGGGAGCTGTGTGGCTTGCTCTAACCACGCTAGTCCCTTCGCTGCTTTTTCTGCCACTATGGCTGTATTGCTAGCGTTCATCCATGGAAGACGTGTTAGGCCAAAACAAATAATGACCTTGTTTCCGGTCGCCCGACCGGGTCACTTTTTCCCAAATTCTGAAACTTTTTTTTTGTCCCAAATGTATACAAACGGTGGCAATGCCATGTGTGCAAGTGCACTCAACGAGTCATAACTCAGTCAAATCTCAACCGAATTCCACAATCGAAACACCTACAAGGTAGCAGAGATTTTCAGCTGTCGACTCGAAAACCTCCGGGGTCGATACGAGCTAGAATAACGGAGCTGGAAGGACTCAAACTGTTTGCTTGATTTCTCAGGATGTACGAAAACAGGAATACACCACATGCTGTACAAGAACAGTGAGTCAATCAACTTTGACATTGACCCTTTCCATGATATATGTACAATGTACATGTGTAGGTGCTCTTGTCCATCAATACCACAACGATTGAGGAACCAAAAAAAGTATCCAAAAAAAGTTTCATTCCGGCCGACCGAGTCTCCTTTTTGAGGGGTTGCCGACCGGAAACAAGCCTATTTTTTGTTTTGGCCTTATGCTGTGACTATTGTTCAAGCTTTGGTGTACAGTGGAACTTTCAGGTCATTGACTTGGAGATAGTATCATGAGTGCTCGTACGCATTCCTATTTGGAACTTGAGATCGCAGTGTTGCGGTGCATGTGTTGTTCCCTTGTATCCACTGCTATGCTAGGCACCAACGTATGGTTTAAATGCCTCGCACTGAGATTGCATGCAAAGGCCGTTTGTCCTGCGCTGCATCTCATCCTAATTGTGGCTACTCATACGCCAGACAACACAGGACATTGTGCGGTTAGATTGTATTTACGACGCAGGGGCGTCGGAAGGTATTTTAGTGTTGTATGGTCAGCCATCTGAAGTACAATTTACCCGTGGGGGAGGGGTGGCTGAGTTGGAAATTTTGGAAATTTAGAGCCCAGATCAATGCATTTCATAGATTCACGGGGTACCTGGGTCGAAAAGTGGTACGGTCAATACCGTAGTGACCGTACCGTGTCTGACACCCCTGACGGCTGCGCTGGGCATTGTGTTTTTGAGAGATACCATGGGCGGTGAACCATTGTCCTATAACTGCAACTCTTTCTTGCTCTGCTTGTCTTGGTCCCCCCCCCCCCCCCCCCGTGCAGATGGTGGTGGGCGGCTTCTTTCGCGGTCTGCCGTGCATGGTCATGGAGTACATGGACATTGGCGATCTGCACTCGTACTTGGATAGGCATCGCCTGTCCCACGATCCCAAGTCCTCCAACCTGGCTGTTCTCTGCACCACGCTGTCGTCCAAGGAGTTGATGTCTTTTGCATCGCAGGTGGCTCGTGGTATGGAGCATCTCTCCGTCAAAGTCCAGGTAGGAGTCTCGGACACGTGAAAAATGTCATGCCAGCTTTGGTTGCCAGTACCGGTATAGTCTCCTATGGTCACCATTGGTGTTTAGAAATCAAATGTGTGTGCATGTGTGTATGTTCTTGCAGGTTGTACACCGTGACTTGGCAGCACGTAACATTCTCATACAGTCGACTGGCGGTGACCAGCTGAATCTGAAGGTTGCCGACTTTGGCCTGGCACGCTCCATATACCGGCGGATAAACTACAAGAGAGCCAAGGGGGTAAGTTCAGCCCTTGTGTCTGTAGATGTCTGCTCTAGTGTGTAGTGTAGATGGGTACTCTGCAGGGTCAGTACACAGGAGTGAACAAGGTAGAAATGCAGCGTTCACTGCATTCTGGCAAAAAACGTTGCTTTTTTGCATGCGAAGGTCACCTAAAACTATCTATTTTCAGATCCCAGAGTTTAAGGCTGCTGCTCTGATGGAAAGTCCATTATCTTGAGCGCTTTCTACAGCTCGGTTAGTATTCTCAAGTCAGTTTCGTGGTGGTTAAGCATCCTCTGAATTAGCAAAGGCAAAGAATTAATCTGCCACTACAGTTGCGCTGACTGAAATCCGACCCAAAGTGCAAACTGGCGCCCTGGACCAATTTCAATTACGTCACAGTACTTGTACGTGTGTACGTCCAGCCCCATCCGTACTACTTGCCACGGTGCCAAGGGCCGTGCAAGCTGAGGGCACCAAACATGCACTTCGGGTCGGATTTCACCGAGCGCAACTGTAGATAGTGTATGCACTGTAAGCGAAGCGAATGGAGGGCCGCTGCGATGGTTGCTTAACTTGAGGAGAATGAACTAAAATGACGAGGTACGAAGGACGAAACATGAACAACAAGCAAACTCACCTAGGATTCCGAGCCCGCGCCCATGAGCTGGATCAAGGCAAGCAGATTCTGTGCCAGTTGCTGCCAGCTGTACACCTTTCCCGCGGATAGGGGTGAAACGAATATACCGAACATTCGACTATTCGTTCGTTAGGCCACAGCGAACGAACATTCGTAGTTCTCACGAACATTCGAACTTTGAAAATGTGCGTACGGTACGATAAACCCGTAAAAACATCACGATCAGTCACGATCGTTTCACACACCGCCTGTAGAATATGTGTAGCTGCGTGCTTGTGACCAGCGCTGCGCCAGGTGGTACACGACCCGCGCGCGCGCGCGCGGTTCACGATCTGAACCGGCACTTGGCTGGAGTCGGGGCGACGACATGTAGACGAACATCGAAACAAAGCACGAGTACTCGTACATGTACTTACATATTTTGGCTGCTCGCTCTTCCTTTGACTACTTCGTAGTTTTCTTTTGTTTCGAGTTCGCACTGTTCCCATGTCAGAAACTGTTTTCGGTCGTGCTCCCCGTTCTGTTGTTTGGGATCATTTTACAAAATCCGAGGATGAGAAGTCAGCTACCTGCAGGATTTCCCGCAGCGTATGTTTATAGTATGGCAAAACGGCGAGCAACCTCTATGCGCACCTGAAAACACAACTACGGTAACTTTCAGCATTCTTCTGTCGTCTCTGGGAGTGCAGTTATTTCTACGGCATCAACACTGAACAGGAAGCAAGTTGATGACAAACGTTGCTGTGACGCAACGTTCTGGTCCTCAGCAGTGGCAGTATGGCGTTGCTCAGTTGGAGGCCATTGTGCCTCAACTTTTGAAAGCATCATAAAAGACGTACTGTAAAGTTAGACACTTTCGCAAGTGATACAATTTCGCTACTTTCGCGGCCATTGCGCATTCTGGAGAAGAAAAATCGCCACAAACTGCAGTACGTGCATTGTAGACAGCACAACTACAAGATTCAAAAGAGGTAAAAATCGAAAAAAATTCTCATCACAAACCAGCCGCATTCATGAAAACGCAAAATGTGTGCGCCACAAAAGTTTATTGCTATACTGTATTCAAAAATTCCACTATTTTCTTGCCTATGCCGGTTCGTGCGCGAGCACGTGCGTGCGACGAGAATGTTAGAGAATGTTCGTTCGTTCGTTCGTTAACATCAAGAACGTTTGAATACTCAAATTTTATGTTCGTTTCAGCCCTACCCGCGGAGGACCACCGGAACGCATGTTTGTCCGCGTCCTGGTTGAGAACGATCCGTCGGAACCGGATTTGTGTTTTCAGTGCAGCGACTTTTGCAGAGACTGTCGGTAGGCTGGCGAGCTGCGTGGTGACAGTGTCGGCAGTCGTCCAAAGGTCATCCTGCCGATCTTCGTACTGACCTTCAGCTTCTCTTGCTGGCTGTTGGCCTCTCTCTCCGGCCGTTCCATCTCCTTCTGTTTGCTGCTGCTGGAACTGGCGAATTTCTTCGCAGCGCTGCTTGTAAAGTGACTTGTGGGACACAACACCGCTCAGCACACTGGCGAAAGGCTGCTTCCGCCGCTCGTGGGTCGGACTGGCGAGCCATTCGGATGTGCCGCTGGTGCTAAATAACACCATCGCTTCTATTGCCACCAGCGAGGCATTCAGCTTTTTTTCTCTTCAGTTTGTCAAGCACGGCAAAGCAGCGTTCGCTGGTGACGTTTGTTGTGGAGACACTTTGTGTGGTGGCCCTGGTGTCTGTCGACATGTCGTGGTGCTTGCCGCCAGGAAGGTGGTCTGCCAGCAATCACCGTGCGTAGGTGCTAAATGCACGCATCAGCAACTGAAGACCTATGAGTGTGGTGTTATCGTGCTGCGGTGCTGTGAGAAGTGCTGTGTGAACGCCATCAACTGCAACTTCGGCACCTGCAAAGACCTTTGCTGAACCGTCCAGCAACTCCTGGCTATCCGAGCCCCAGCGGTCGAAATTGCAGCACAAGGAGGCGTACACCGTACTCATGTCTGTGATGGTGACAGACTTATCAGCCAGCTTCCTCCAAGGCGGCCCAGTCACAAGCTTGCTGATCAAGCCCAATGCCCTGCGGGCTGCAAGGTAAGCATCATTTGCAATGTCATCCTTCACTGCAGCATGTAGCCTGCTAGTGGTACCCAGCGCTTTGCTGTAGAAACCGGCGATCTCCTCTCGCAAATGGTACACGCCTGCGGCATTATAAAATAAAATGTTAAACCGGTTGCCAATGAATCTGGTCAGTGGGATGGACCGGATGCCCTTGTTTTGCAAGTATGCACGGAACTACCTGTGACTGCCGGACTGTTCGTTGCAGTGCGCCTCCAGGGCCTTGCAGACGGTGTGCACCAGTCGCACTGTGCCGGATTCACACGGCTTAGGAAACTCTGCCTGCGAAGCACTTGCAACTGACACCTGGGTTTTCTTCCATTCTTTCAATATTTATTGCGCTTGCTCGGCCAAGCCCACAATGAAGTGCAGACCACAGGAGGAGCAGGGTCTGTGTGGACAACAGCATCGAAGCTGTCGAACGTCACCTCTTGCTTGTAATATGATGCCGGGAGTGGGCTGAGTATCCCCAATGGGGTAAAAGTTTCCCCATCTGGTACGTTTCCATGAGATGGGCAAGGTCCTGTTGGGCATCAGCAGTTCTACCTTCCTTGGACTTGAGCTCTTGGATTCGCTCCACGTCTCCACGGCCGCGCTGGCCTTCCTTTGCTTCTTGTAATCATCTATGCAGCTCTGAGAGATGTCCTTGTGCTCTTATAAGAGAAGCTGGTAGCTTGCTGCTATATCACTCTGCTCTTTCAGATCAGCCTCGCCAGGACTGCCAGATTCGAGCAGATGATTTTAGTGTTGTCTGTGTCACTCTGTGCCCGGCTCACCTTCTCACTGCTGTGTTTGCATGTAGTCTTGACTGTTGACTGTCCGCCGTATGTCTTGACTGTTGACTGTCCGCCATATGTACGTATCTGCAGCAGCAGCAGCACGTGTGTGTGTCTGTGTCTGTGTCTGTGTGCACTTCTGTGCGTGGTAACGAGCGTGTTAAATTGCAACAACAAAAAACTCCTGTTTTAGTGACTAGTCTACTTGGCAATCAGACTCTGTCGTCTGATTACTCTTGGTAGCAACTGCTCCCGAGTTGTTTCTTGTCTTCTACATGTGAATATCACTGCACACAGACAGGCAGTGCACCTTTTACCTGCTAGAGTGCCCAATGTCTGTTCTGCGTTGAGAGGTACACAAAGAAAGGTTAGGGCGTTTTTGTATTGTAACTCAGAGTTTCATGGTTTGACAATCAACAAAAATAAGCCCTGACTTTCCTGTGTGTACCTCTTGTGTCTATAGCGCTATGTGCTCTAGCCGTGCATGTGTCTAAGGGTCTGTCCCTAATTATCGATCGTTTTCACGAGAGAAAAAAAAGTTTCGTTTATGGGTGGGTAGGTTGAGGAGAGTTTCGTTTTGAAAATTATTGATAGCTGAAACATCAATCCATTCTAACTGTCAAGTCGGTCTATTTTTCGTTGAAGGGGGTGGGTGGGTGGGGGAGGGTCATAATTAAACTTTTTCGTTTCGTGAAAATTATCGATATTGTCGGATGGCCCCTAACGTTACCACTAAATACTGTAGTCATGCTGGGTCCCTTCAGCTTGTATGGTTATTGTTGTTGTTCTCTTCCCATCTGGCTGTGTGTACCTAGACCCGTGTGCCGCTCAAGTGGCTGGCTATAGAGTCTCTGCGCGAGGATATCTACACGGCCGCCAGTGACGTGTGGAGCTTTGGCATTCTGATGTGGGAGATTGTCACTCTCGGCGGCCACCCGTACCCAGGCATTCCGCTGGGCCGTCTCTGCCAGTTCCTGGAATCTGGCTATCGCATGGCGCGGCCCAGATACTGCAGCCGCGAAGTGTGAGTACCCGTGTCCCAGATGGTGCAGTGGTGTGTGTGCAGTCAGATTTCCAATCGAGCGGTTGCAGGTTAGATTCTCGGCGATCATGGTCGCACATTTTCTTCTCTTTCTTGTTCTCCTGGCCGTTCCGTCAGTCTCCTGTGTGGTTACATGTACCAACAATGGAGCTGTTTGTTATGACGTCCATCTGAATTCTCGTTGTTGTTTTTCTTTGCTCTGTTCCTTGGTTCGTTACTGCCGTGTGTGTTACAGGTATAGCATGATGAGGCGGTGTTGGGAGGCCGATCCGAAGCTGCGGCCCAGCTTCACTGAGCTTGTGGATCAGCTGGACATACTGCTGGCAAGCAGCGCGGTAAGGAGTGTGAGTGTGCGAGCGTTGCCACGCTGTCTGCATGCCCACCTCCACACTGCACTCTCCTGACCGGAGTGTCCAGTGTGCACATGATTGCGATTGGTTTATTTAGTGTCGAAGAACAAACATGCAGTGTGGCCTTATGACATGAGGCCGACTACAGGCACACGAATATAAGGAAAAAAGGAAAAGATTAAAAGAAAGAAAGAAAAAAAAGGAAAATAGAGTAGGGTACTGTAATTTCACAAATTTTCGGTGTGCTTTTATTTTCGGTAACCAGGCAGGCACAGTGGGTTGGTCAAAGACCATGATTGAGATACGAGAGGTACCTGGTTCAAGTCCTGCCTGGGAGCGGTTTTTCCAGCCGTGCTGCTACCCACAGTCAACTGGGAACTTGTGGCCAGGCACAAGGGGTACATGGATGCAGCTAATGGGGTCGCTTTCGGCACTTGTGCCAGTGGTTGTGAGACTTACCCACTCACCCCCACCGTTAGGCGCTGCATCTGCCGCTAGGGTTTATCGGGTGTTAGCGGCCGTCGTGAGTTCCCTTCGGGAACGGATACGATAATTTACTTTTTATTTTTTTTTTATTTTTTTTTTTTCGGTACTTTCGGTGCAGCTGTTTCATACATAAAATTTCAATACACCGAACAAACACTAACACGCGTACTCCCATAGGGGACTGCTTCTCTGTACCGAAAATTTCTGTTCACCTAACCTGGCCTTTTGCCCTCATACCGAAAAAATTGAGCACCGAAAATTTCTGAAATTAGAGTATATGGCCCAGAATCTGCGAAAACCAGGCTTAGGGTGAAAATCATTTTTTGAGAAAAATGATGTTTTGTAAAAAGGTTGTGTCGCGTGGACGATCGAGTGTAGTGAAGTGGAACCAAAGAGAATCTCGCTTGTTTGAAGAAGTAGCAGTCATGGCAGGAAGGGTTTTAGCAGTCAGGGAAGTCAAAGGGCTTCCGGTAGAATATTCCCTGCTACTCCTGTAGTCACAACGAAGAGTTTTTGAGCTGATCGAACGGATTCCATCTCCTACACTCAGGGATGGCGAAATTTCTGCGCTAGCTGCTGCGTGCGGAAAATGGTGAAGAAATCGTCTCCAGTTAGAGTCGTGATGGCGATAGCGAGGAGAACCTGGATGACATCGATCCAGCCAATCGAAGTACAGTGATACTAGCTGTTTCTGGGCCTCATGCAAAGGGAACACGCGCAGCAGAGCTCATACGTTTGCAGCAAGTTCACCAGGAAAAAGGCTTGAAGCGCAGTGTGAAAACTGTTTTGAATTGAAGTCCTTGGCGATGAAGTGCTACTGAATGCCAGGCGAATGAGCGAGCAGATCGAGAGGCCCCCACTCGAGACTTTCCTCGCTGGACAGCTAGCTGCAAGGGATTGTACCGCATGCTGATATTTCACTTGCTGGTCAGCACCAAGCAGATACTGCAGCACGCCAGCACACTATGCGCTTACTACTATGAACAGTGGAACAGTTTGAAAGGCTGTATTCTTGCTTGTTTCCGAACAGTTGTAGTAACTTGTACTAGATTCACCCTTCAAAAGGTGCCATCTCAACTGGAGTCGGGTTTCCTTGTGGTTTGTAGCGCCAGAGCATGCCAGTACATGTATTCAGCCCCAGAATGTGCTGAGTGAGGAGCAAACAAAATTCATGCAGAACTGTGCATGGCCACTACAGCCTGCAGCACCAAGGGGCCACAAGGCACAACAAGCCTGCCCCCACATGCCTACCTTGTCATGTCACCTAAACAAAAATCATCCATGTCTCTTCCTTCAGGACCTCTCTTCATTTCTTTCCTGTGATAACAAATTTGTGTTTTTTTTGGATTTTTTAACACAATACCCTGGTGTGTTTGAGATACTTTTAATACCACTATGAGTCGACACACACCTGTAATATTTTGTTTCCTGACCTTCCATGCCCGGTAGAAGCTGAAAATGGAAAAAAGTCATTTTGTGAAATTTCACCCTAAGCCTGGTTTTCGCAGATTCTGGGCCATATGATGTGCATGTGAACTGGGTACTGCTGGTGTTTGATTTAAATTCATGTGTGGGCTTCACACAACATGTTCCTTCCCACCATACTCCTGTGAGAGTGTGGAGGCTATGCGATTGCATCATCTTTATTGGATATCGAGTACGTCATTATTTGATATGTTTTGTATGGCATCACATGATCACAAGGCACTGGTTTGCCACTCTATGCAAACTGCATATGCGATGATGTCGTTCACATAACCTCTATTGGCCACATGCAGCACTACCGTCGAGGGCTGCCTCCCCTCGACGGTGGTGCTAGCATTCTCTCTCACCTATTCCTGGTCAAGAGGCGAATGATGACATGCATCCTCGCCATACCTCTGCAAGAGTACTGTAGACCGGCTAATTTTAGCAGTTAAAAATGTGAGCATTTTCTTAATCTGGGCCATTTTGCAATGAAATATGTTAGCGATCCGAGTTTCAGAGTATGACTAGCAAGTATTCGTATTTCACGACTCCCTGATGACTACATGCAAAATTTGATTGGCGCAGCGAATCTTTAGCGAAAACACTCCTTTCGCTAAAATTCGCTAAAATATCACCGGCGCTAAAATTCACCGTTTTACAGTAGAGTGCACAAGTGTGTTAGCCTTCTTTCCATGCTGGTTGTTAGTGGTGTTCTAACGATGTCATGTTCTCTTCCCTGTGTCGCGCTGCAACAACAGGGCTACATTCACGTGGAGGCCAACATCCATGCGGTGCAGCCGGACATCATCGACGAAGTGTCGGACAGCGACTCTGACGCAGACTCTCCCGCGCAGCGCTGGCCAATGGACGCGTACAGCGAGCTGACTACGCCCGGCTTTGCTTGCACGCCGGACGGCTATCTGGCGCCGAAAGACAGCGGCCCCGCTTTCATCATGCCGGACCCACTGCCGGCATCATCAAACGGCGATGTCCGGGGCATTGCGACCGGCGGGGCCGATGACATCGAAAGCGGCGCTGCAGTTGATGGCGGCGGCGGTAGTGGGGTGCATTCTCGGCAAGGCTCTCGTCGCGGTGCCTCTCGCCGTCAATCCTCCGTCAAGAGCCACCGGACTAGTGTCGTTCAGAGCTTGTTGCCGTCGGCCATCCAACGCATGATCTCGTCCGCCGCTGGATCTATCTTCCGTGCGCCCAGTGTCGACAGCCTGGACAGGGGGCTTGCCAAGACACAACAGCAGCAGCAGCAACAGGCATCGGCCGAGGCAAGCACATCTTCCATGGCCACAGCGAATGGATTGCGTTCGCCTCGGTCGCTCATCCAACGCCGACACAGCTCCTCTGACGTTCCCAGCGATGACTCGAGTGTCACCTTGACGGATATCCGGCGCCTCTCCTCCACTGATTCCAGCTCCAACGCGGACAAGTGCGATGGTTCGGCGGCCGTGGCACGCTCCACGTCCAATGCGTCGAATAAACCGGCCGTGGTCAGTCGTCTCAACTGGCCGTCAAAGTTGACATCCCAGCGCGAGTCCGTTGAGTACACAACGGTTGTCAGTCCGCCGGTCGCCGTACACGCCGTCAAACCTGCGAACACGCCACCTAGCAAGCCGGCCTTACCGCCTAAGCCTCCGAGAGTTGTGGTGTCGCCGAAGAACTCTGCTAGCAGTTCGGCGTCGCCCCGGGGATCGCGTCGGAAACCGAATCTAGTCCTTCCCGGCTACATTCAGCCTAGTCCTGCTGTGAGTAACGAGTCGATTGCGAGGTCCAAAGCAGGCTCGCAAGACACGCTGGGCGATGTGTTTGAGTCGAAATCAAACTCTGTCGAGTCACTATCTCGCCTTCCCGCCAACCCCATTTCCCAGTCGTACGGCAGCCAAGGCAGTAGCCACCTGACACAGGTAAAGCCTGCGTCCAGCTTGCCCAGTCTAGGGTAGAATCATAGCAAGCTGCCGATGGCAACAAGATAGGTTGCTGCCCGTGGTCTAGCCCAAGTGCACCCAATCTGGGTAGCCGGTACAGCTCTTTGTTGGCACATTCTGTTGGGTCAGTCGCTTCAGGAGAGATCATCCGCTCAACGTCGTGGCGCCACATGGTCACAACCGTTGTACACACACACACACACACACACACACACACACTCACACACACACACACACACACACACACACACACACAGCCTGCGTATGCACGCACACGGGTCATATGCATGACTGCCAGCCCAACTGACCACCACTACGTTAGTAGTCATAGTCGCATAGATGTGCACCATGATTGAAGAATGCATCCAAACTCCAGCTCAGCTCATGTTTAGCAGTGACTTTGTAGAGCCCAGTCCAGTACCTATCCACAGTACGGTCATGACCTCAGAATCTCCAGCTCCACATGATCAGCAAGTCCGCAGAATACCAACTTCCTGTACATATATTGAACTCCAGTTTGTCTGATTTATACGACATTTGACACAATTTGAATTCTCGTAACTATGATCTCTATACCTTTCTCAGCAACACCGGACAGACCAAGCCCCGTTGCATATCCATCAATATCTGACAGACCAAGCACCGCTGCATATCCATCAATACCTCAAAAGACAGACCCCGTTGCATACCTGGCTAAACAGCCTAATCTTAGCTCAGTGTGTGCTTCAGTCGGCTCTTTGTGTCATATCCCACTTTGCTCAGCAGCGTGCGTCCGGGATGCATGATTACACTCCGGCATCTGTCTTGAATCTGCTGTATCCTCGGCGTGCGTTGGACTGAAGTTTAGTGTTTGAGTGGTATCATTTTGTAAACAGTTTTTTTATGTCTTGTTGCCAATATCCAGTGGCGGATTTCATCAGGCTGTCAGTTATGCCTCCTTGCTTATCACGACGTATACCTCTCAAACTATCTCCCCTCCCGAGTCCCGTCTCCTATTTTACTATCTTGAGATGTGATCGATACGAATTTTACTTCTATAATAAAAAAAACTGGCTTAGTGAGTTATGCACTGTTTGGTACGCTTTTCTTTTCTATTTGGAGTGTTGAAAGAACATAAAAAGCAAATTTCAATAACAGCTATTGTTGCTTTGTCTCTTTTGTGTCTATGCATGCTGTTCTTGGCTCTGTAACTGCCGTTAATCGTGCTGTTAATTTACCCCTGCACTACATTATGGCTCCACCCCCAACGTCTATTCCCAGTACAATCATACGCCATGTAGAGTGTTCCATTCTGCATGGCGTCTGAGCGAGGGACAGAAGCGGGAGTACCCCTCTCCGGTCAGAGAACAGTAGAATCATACACAGTATCACTATGATGGGTTTGCGACGTAGACCACTCAACGTCTCAATTTCAGAAAGTGTGTAGTAGTACAGTAGATGGTGTGGCCCGATGGAGTACTTAAAGGGGAAGTATACCCTAAAATCAAATTTTCACCAGTTGTAGTCTTCGGGGTGCTGAGTCGAATGGTCTTGGTCCGAGGAAGCTGAGACGCTCCCTTCCTACTTGAATCCCAATCGAACTCGCGCACTTCCACCGAAACTGGGTGACTGCGCCCTACTAGATGGGGATTTGTATGCAAAATGTCACTAAAAGCGCCATTTCGTTCTTATAAAAGCACGGATGACCGCGATTGGCCCATATGTTGTAGTCTTTTGGACGCTGAGTCGACTGGTTTTGGTCCGAAAAGGCTGCGATGCAGCGTTCCTCCTTTATTCCCAATCGAACATGGTTGAACAAGCGGTCACGTGCTCCTGCGTACACCAGTCACCTGGTCACTGTGCCTGCAGGGTACAACTTACTAGCCTGTTTGACCTTTTTTGGGTGCAGTCCTGTCACTCGAGTTGAACTCGAGTTGAACCTTGGTGTGAAAGTTGTCCCCTGCTGGCGCGGTGACCAGGTGATTTGGGCACCCAGGAGCACGTGACCGCTTGTTCAACCATGTTCGATTGGGAATAAAGGAGGAACGCTGCATCGCAGCCTTTTCGGACCAAAACCAGTCGACTCAGCGTCCAAAAGACTACAACATATGGGCCAATCGCGGTCATCCGTGCTTTTATAAGAACGAAATGGCGCTTTTAGTGACATTTTGCGTACAAATCCCCATCTAGTAGGGCGCAGTCACCCAGTTTCGGTGGAAGTGCGCGAGTTCGATTGGGATTCAAGTAGGAAGGGAGCGTCGCAGCTTCCTCGGACCAAGACCATTCGACTCAGCACCCAGAAGACTACAACTGGTGAAAATTTGATTTTAGGGTATACTTCCCCTTTAACAATAATAGTAAAACCTTTTTGTAGTTCATGTACTCCAGGTCGACCGGTCACTCGGGTGTGGCCTTTTTAATAAAGCCACCCCTACTCTGTACGAAGGAGGAGGGTTGGCTACAGATGTCAGTCTCACTGCGGAGTGAACTGTGCTAGGAGAAATTTGACAAAGAAGTTTCGCTCGTGCTAGTCCACCACCATTACCAGGGTGGCAGATGCAGCGCATAACGGCGAGGGTGAGATGGTAAGTCTCCCAACCAATGGCCGACAAGGGGCGAACCTCGTTAGCTGCATCCATGTTATCCTCACTCCGAGTAGTGAACACCCTGTTTTTGTTTTAATGCACGATAACGAAAAAAAAGCGGAGGAAAATGGAGCTGGCGTCGAAAGGTTGCTACTTGTTAGAGAAGAGAAGGCAATGTAGACTGAAGAGTAATGCCAAAGAAAGATTGCGCCTTGTAAGGGCCAGGGGTGAAGTAGCCATTGTCCTGTTGTCTTGAGTATTGGTCAGAGTGAAGGGAAAGCCTTGAATTTATTTAGCCAGAAGAAGCAGTACGGACTAAGTCTAAGGAACGCTCAGTTCATGTAGCTGCATGTGCTACAAAACCGAATACTTATAATGTACTGGACGGAGAATGAAGTTGAAGGCACCACTGCAGCTGTACTTATGGTTGATAAATATGGTGGTAAAGACACACCTGGCAATATGGCGGTAAACACACGCCTGCCCACACACGCTCTCTAGGCTGCAAAGTTAGTTCTGGCACAGAGCTCTCCTTCTCACCACCACCACCACCATCAGTTCGCGCCTGGCGCCTGGTCGATGCATGGTTGGTGGTATCCGGTATAGCAGGCTGGTACATCAAGTAGCGCATGGCACATAGAAGATGGCACAGCAACGATATAGTTCGATTGCGACGTAGATTCTACGTTTCGCCCCCGCTGGACTCATCAGGCAATCTTCTTCTTGGATGTCTTCATACGGAGCTTGACTCGGGAGAATGAAGGTGAAGACGCCACTGCAGCTGTACTTATGATTGATAAATATGGTGGTAAAGACACACCTGGCAATATGGCGGTAAACATACGCCTGGCTGCCCACACACGCTCTCTAGGCTGCAATGTTCTGGCACAGAGCTCTCCTCAGTCTCACCACCACCACCACCATCAGTTCGCGCCTGGCGCCTGGTCGATGCATGGTTGGCGGTATCCGGCATAGCAGGCTGGTACATCAAGTAGCGCATGGCACATAGAAGATGACACAGCAACGACATAGCTCGATTGCGACGTACGTTTCGTCCCCGCTGGACTCATCAGGCAATCTTCTTCTTGGATGCCTTCATACGGAGCTTGACTCGGGAGAATGAAGTTGAAGACACCACTGGACGGGGTGATTAGTAAAGACTTAAATTAATTAAGTAATACTGCTGTAGTAATAGAATCAAGACAAAAGCTGGCTTACCGCTGTAGGCTATGGTGTGCTCTTTTTTGTGTTCCCTGGGCCGACATAGCGCAGTATAATGATGACAACGCTTTCTTCCGATCCTACGGAGAAAGTGGGCGCTAGCCTTTGATTACTCCGCCGGGCATTTTCAATCGGGCCGGCCGTGCTCAGCTTGTCTTTGCATTGCTCAAAGGCAGACTGACGTCAGGGGTGCGTGACCTATCGGCGTATGCAGCCCAACTGACGGACATCGTGTTTGAAGCAAGACAGTGCGCCCGTAGATATTGCTCAAAGTAATACTACTACTAGTACAAAACTGAATCCAATAGTGGTTTGTAACTGTGACAATATCGTCCAGGAAGTATGTGAAAAATACATTGTAGTAGAGAGGTTAGGATGCACGGTATTTCTGACGTGACGCGAAATCGAAAGTTCAGCTCAGCGTTACAGTATTAATTTTGGCTCGCGCATCAAAGAACAACGCTTCACCACAAGAATTCTTGTTTATTTTGCCCGTATAGTAGAAAAGGCTTTTGTTTGAAGTGACCTGCAGCTCACGTCGAGATTCGGAGTTTTAAAAGCCAAATTCGACGTGAAATTGCGCGCCACGTCGGAAATAACGTGCATCTAACCTCTCTACTGTCACTATACAGAGTAGTGCTAATTTACGTACAATGTACACCTGTACATGTACCTGTACCTGTACGGTCATGTACAAAAGTACATTATACTTCACTAGGTTGGAAGGAGGTGAAAAAGGGAAGAAGTCTAGAGAAAAAATGACGGTCACCACCAGGATTGCACCGCTGCTAACAACAGTACTCCAAAGGAAGAGAGTTCCAGCGATCAGCAGCAAGGTGCATAATGATTTATAGACGATGATAGCCACAGCAAGCGTTCATGTTTGGCATGCAAGTCTTGGCAGGCAAGACCGTTTTGGTCACGCCACTGTGGTGAATGATGGCTCCATTGTCTGCGTTTCCTCTCCGTCTTTGCTATACGAGTGCAAGTAGAATCATTAGATAAGCCTTGGTTTGGTTGAACAATTTGAAAACACGTTGTTTGGTTGACAGCATGTTCCAAGGCAGAGGACGCACTGTATTCGAAAACAGTGTTACAACCTCCACGGCTGGCGGAGCCTCGGTCTTGCGACCATTTGAAACGTATTATTTTACTATCAATTTAGCCCTGGTTCTGACCCTCATTATACTACAAGTAGGGAGTTATTGAGTCTTCTTACAATCATGTACATGCATTCCTCCCGATCACCATTACTTCGACTGCTATAATGACTAGTTGTGGACAAACTACATGTATTGCATTTTGGTTTTGCGATGTAGCTACGCTACACACAGTAGTACAGCAGCTCCAAAGCCACAGACACCACGGACAGTGATAGGCTGCCGGTATGGTGTCACTGTGTCATGCACAGTGAAACCTGTCGTAGCCAACCACTCATTGCGAGGGACCTGAAAGGAACGTAGTCTCCGCGGCCTACATTGTACATGATTGTGGTCTAGTCTCCTTACCCAGGGTCATTGGACTGAAATCATGGTAGCATACCTTGGTCCTAGCTGTAGTGGTCTTTGCAGGGTAGGTGGGCGTCTTATCGGAGTGGTCGCCTTGGAAGGTTTTACTGTATCGGAGCATTACGAACTTTCTTGATAAGTTGATAGCAACTCCATTCTCTCTGCTTGCCAATTTGGCTTCCACTCTAGACTTGGCACACCTAACCTCCTCCTAGCTCTTGTTACAAGTATTAACTTTTATTTCACGGGGTGTTTCCCACAGACATAATTATGGTCTTCTTACGAGAGCTCTAGGAAGGTTAAGCATGAGCGAATAAATGAGCGGTAGTCTGGATAAGTGCGAACAGTGGAAGGCAGCACATTCCACCGGTCAGCAGCGATGTAACCACTCTTCAACACGAATAGAGCCAGGTTGCCAACAGTGGAGGACTTGTGCGCGTCCTGGCAGTGGAGGAGCGTTCGATAAAGTGTCGCACCCTGGTGTCCTGTACAAAGCTGAGCGGTATGGGCTCCAGGGACATCTTCTTGCCTGGCTCAGAAGCTACCTCACCAACCGCAAACTCCAGGCTGTAATGAGCGGACAGTCCTCATCCGCTTACCCCATCATGTCAGGCGTCCGCCAGGGTAGCATCTTGGGCCCGACTCTGTTCCTTCTTAATTAAGCACGAATGATGCTGAGGATCACGTACCTGCTGGGGCCCCAGCTTGCTGTAGATGCTGATGACACCACCTTATACAAGTGCATATCGACCCATACTGCCGTACCCGAAGATGTTACCATACTCCAGCTTGCTTTAAATGCGCTGGCAGACTAGGGAATGGCCTGGCACATTAAGTTTGAAC